TTGATTATCAAACAAAATGAAAGTAGATGTTTTGTCCTGAAGCACAATGACTTTATTTTCACAGAAGCTTGCATCGACCTTCAAGACCCGATTTCTGGTGCCTGAAATATTCCATGTTTGAATCCTACTGTGCAGTCCTCACCAGCTTCATTCCAGTTTACTTCTGCTGGTGATGATAATGCCTTTGCTGCTCTCCGTCTTTGTCCAGGTTATTTCCTGCAAACTAACCCCAGATCACATCAGCGCTCCTTCCAGGGCTGCATGCAGATGATCCACATAGATGATCACCTGATGGACCTCAAGGCGGTGGAGCAGGGCCTCATTGGAACTTTTGAAAATGTCAGCCTAGATATGTGTGCCATTATAGACAGGTATGTATCCCAGAAATTAAAAGCACAGTGGATTGTTGTTGGGACCTCCATCAGTCTGGAGGGTGGAGGGTTGGAGTCGTGTTGTCACTGAGTTTCCTGTTTCCTGTCAGGTGTGTTCCAAACTACTGTGAGCACAGCGGCCACTGTTCTCAGACATGGGACGCTTTCACCTGCAACTGTAGTGGCACCGGCTACACTGGAGCTACCTGCCATACCTGTAAGTGCAGCTATACACTGGCATTTGTTTAATTAATGCTAATCCTAATGTCATGTTAATCATAAGACTAGTTTTTAGTTAGTTGGTTATTTCATGATCTATTTGCTCAGGTTCTCTGAAAATGTTGGATTTTTTAAAGATGCTCGCGTTCTTTATCAAGTTCATTGTTTCAGGCTGAAGGTAGCGCTGAACATGAGTGTTTTTAATCTCTGCCCACTCAGTGGTACAGTCAGGACAACCTCCCAGATCCTGTTATCATCTAGTTCTGAGGCTTCTGCATTTATCTAAGGCAAATACACTGTTCCTCCCTTTATTCGAGTACTGTACCATTATTATTACTACCAATGTTTTCCATGCAACCTTACACGGCTGCAGACACAAGTCACAGTACTGAAAGGTAGCAGCGGCAGTCGATGAGGTTGCCAGTAGAGTAAATTCCTGTGACTAGGGTTACTTTTCTAGACGTTTCCAAGAGAAAAGCAGAAGTTTGATCTAAAAGTCCTCATCAGGTACTTCCAGCTCTGGGACAGGCTGCTCACTGTGTCATATTGGTGCCAACTTTTTGACTCTATGGTGAAAATGCACACAGACAGACTATACCTTGCTTCCCCTGATAGCACTGTATCAGCAATCATGTGAGGAGTATAAGCACCAAGGCAAGAGTTCGGGGAGCTACTGGATAGACCCGGATGGCAGCGGCTCTATAACCCCCTTCAGAGTCCACTGTGACAT